ATTTGCTGATGATATGATACTCTACATTGAAGATCCAAAAAACTCCACCAAAAAACTTCTAGACTTAATTGACAGATTCAGTAGAGTATCTGGATACAAGGTGAATACCTAAAAATCAATAGCCTTCTTATACACAAATAACAGACTCACGGAGAGAGAAATAAGGGAAAAAATTCCTTTTACAATAGCATCCAAAAAAATGAAGTATCTAGGAATCAATCTAGCAAAAGAAGCAAAAGATCTCTACACTGAAAACTACAGCACTCTGAAAAAGGATATAAAAAAATATTATTGTACTCTTTAATGCTAACAGCACCTCAGTACTATGTGGGCCATTTTTGATTTTTTTTTTTGGTGGTACCAGGGATCAAACTCAGGACCTTGTGCTCACAAGGCAGGTGGTGGAACCACTGAGCTAAATCCATGGCCCAAGCAAGTACTTTTGAGCTCTTTTTTTTTTGGTACCAGGGATCAAACTTGGGTCCCTGTGCTTGCAAAGCAGGTGCCAGAACCACTGAGCTAAATCCCAGGCCCTGTGGTCCATTTTTCATCAACAAAATTACCAAGCATAAGCACAAAAAAATGCAAGGAAAAGTAGTATTAACTAGATTTCAAGAGGATACTTGTTTATAATATTAGTGGTGGATCATGAATGTGCTTTGACTGCCCATTGAGTGCTTAAATTGTTTGCCCCTCCTAGCTTCTCAGAACAGAAAAATACTAACATTGGTTGCTTCATTTATCCCTCCAATTTTTCCCTAAAATATTAAATGACCTTAAACTTGCAATTCTACAATTGAAAGATAACTCCAACAAGGCCATGAATTATGGTATTATGTATAATCATCTTTTTGTCCGGTTCAGGATATATTGATTAAAATATTAAAATTGAATTTGTTGTTAACTAAAATCATAGAAGTCCAGAAAAATATATTAATTATGGATGTTTTTCAGAAGCTTGTATTGATCCAGCTAAAATATCTTGAAATGTACTTTCTCTCTTTTGATAAAAAAGAACAGTTATAGTTGACTTTAACAATGAAATGGAGTTTTGAGTTGGTTATTTTGCATGAAGCAAGCTCTCTGTGGGTCTCTCAGCCTAGCATACACTAAAATGACAAAAATATCACATTTATTTTAGGTATAAAATATGTATGGTCAAATACATAGAAAAAAAAGGAAATAGACTTTACAAATAAATGAAATTAAAATTTAGGAAGATCTTTGGACGTATCATTGATAAATGGTTTTACAACCATCTGTAGAGCACAATAGAATAAATAAGGCAAGGGGTATTTGTTTTTAGGTGAACTGATAACACTAAAGTTATTGCTAAAGAAGGGCTCATTTATTTTATCAAGTAGGGACCAGCAAACAACTGAAGCAAGTTTAAGAATGGGCTGGAAATGGCTTTAAAGATCTTTAAATGCTGTCACTTAGGATAGCATATTTTAATATCTCACCAAGTAATCTGTTAAATGACTGAAGTAGTTACCAGTTCTGTCTTAGTCCGTTAGGGCTGCTAGAACAAAACACCTTAGACAAAGGAGATTTATTTCTTACAGTTCTGGAGACCAAAAAGCCCAAGTGGAAAGTGCCTGCAGGTTTGGTGTCTGACAGGTAGGTGGCGCTTCAATGGCATGAGACTCTCTCAGGAAGTGATGTGACCATGTCTCAAAGCCGGCACCTCTCAATTTGGGAGGGACACCAACATTCAGACCATAGCAAATTGCTTATGAAAATATTTAAACCAAGCATGCTCTTTTCCACAGTCTTTAGGAAATGAAAATGTCCTAGGATCGGTTATAGTGACAAGCATTTAAACATAGATCAAAAGCCCCAACGTTATCACAGTGCAAATTTTCCTATGAGAAACATACACATTTGCAAAATAAACAAACAAAAGGAGGCAATCTGAGTAATAAAGTTATTATGACACCACCAGAGAACTCCAAAGAAGCTCCGTGCCTGAATCTCTAGACCCCCCAGCTACTTATGGGTGTTTTGATCTCCTCTTAGATACTGTGTTTATTTAACACACATCTCAGCTCACCTGGTTTATCAGTGTACTTCAGGATAGGGCTTAGCATTACAGCAGAGCGAGCTGGATTTTCTGTTTTAAGCTGAGTGCTTCCTGGGACTTCCTGTTCTAGCAAAAGATCTGTCTGTCTTCTCCTCTCGACACTTGAGACTACATTTGTCCCAATCTGAGCTCTCGCTTCTCCTCCTCCTGTGCTTTGTCTCCTTGCTGCCTGGTTAGGCCTCACCAACATCCAGACCCCAACTGATTGTACCCCTACGATCTCTTACCTCCTCCATATTACCACTCCCACTTCCTCTAGTCTCATCTCCCCCTTGACAGTCTCCTCCTGCCCCCCTCCCCCAGCCTGCCCACTGTCATCTGTTACCTTCTTTGGGTGCTGCATTCACAACAGTGCTTTTCCAAAACTGAACAGCCTGAGAGTTCCTATACCATAGGTCCAAATCCAGCCTGGTACTTAATTAGGAACACTCCCCTTTTGGAAAGATGCCACTCTATGGTGCTGAAGCATACAAGGCTAGGTGGCTGGCAGCTTCCTGCCTCCGTTGTCACTGTAAAGATAAAGAAAAGTCCACATCAGAGCACTGTGGATTCTCGTGTGCTGCCCATACACAGAGTTTGTGAGAAGACTGGACTGGAACATGCTTTGCTCATTTTACTTTCGCTCTTTGCTTAAACAGTCATCACACACAGTGCTCCCAATTCTGGCCCACAGTACTCCTCTACTCCAGGCCTAGGTGGTTCAAATTACTGTCCTCTCCAGAGATCCATCAGATCTCAATTTCACATGCTGACCTGAAGAGTCACTTAGCTCATGCTTGACACCCCAGAAAAATTCAAAGGCATCTGAGCACAGGCTGGCCTGAGCTTCTTCTGCTCCCATTACATCAAAAGCACGTACTGTCTTTTCTTCACTAAGTTTATTGGTACATTTTAGGTATACAGTACAGTTACATTCATCATTGGGATCTTGTACCTCTACATGCTGTATCTTGGTTCTTATTTTTCTCCCATTCCCCTGCCCTCCTTACAACCCCTTCACCCTTCCCTATTTACGGAGACTTTGTTTCCATTTTTTCCTTTTCTCATATTTTTTCCTTTCCCTTCTTTCCTTTCCCTACCCCTCCTACTTCCCCTTCTCCTTTAGACCTTTTCTTCCTATTTCACATCATCAGTTATACATTTTGATCCTTATTTACACTTTTAGTTCCTCACACCAGAGAAACTATTCAGTATTTACACATGTGTGTCCTATTTACTTCACTTAAGAGTATGGCCTCAATATGCATCCATTTGGTTATAAGTGTCTCTAGTTTCTCATTCTTTATGGCCTGGTAGTACTCCATTTTATTAAAAAAAAAAAAAAGCACAACCAGTGTCCAGTTGATGGGCAATTGGGCTGTTCCCAAGCTTTAGCTATTACAAACTGAATCACATACTGTCTTTACACTGAGAAAAATCCTTTACCTTTAACAATGATTTGCAAGAACCTTGCAAATTCCCATTTCCTGTTCTCATGAGGAAGAGGTTTCAGATAGACGGAAGTGACCAGAATTAGACTTTATGAAATGGTATGGAGGCAAATGGATGAAGAGTTAACAGAGGAGGAGTTTTCAGGCTCTTTTGCAGATGCTCTTTTACAGGTGCTCTTTTACAGATGCTCCCAGTCTTCATCAACTTTGTTTTCGCTGGCAGTGTCCATTCATGGAAAATAAAATAAAATAATACTGACTCTGCTGCAAGGAAAAACTGCAACTAGAAAAAAATATTTTCTACAAATTATACTATTAATGGGAGATTTCTGGACGCCTTAGGTTCCATTAAGGACTTTCTGTAAAACATTGCTTGAACTGAAAGTGTCAAGGTGATTCTGGATGGGATATATGGCCGTGGTGGCGAACCTATGGCACGCATGCCACCATGGGCTGTTTGTATCATTGAAAGCACGAAAAAGTTTGCCATCACTGATATATGATATTGTAGGAGTACTGCCAAGCTCCTCTCAGCATTGTATGGTACCCTATCAATGTGTACAATTTTTAAGTGTCATTAAACACACTTTTAAAAAAGGGTAAGAAATCCTCCAGTACACTCATGGATGCATGTAGGGTGGTGTTATGGTTTAGATCTAAAATGTCCCTCAAAAGTTTCATGTTTAGAAGTGGGACTTTTGGAGGGTGACTGGGTCACAGGCTCCTTTACTCAACAGTGTATCCACCCACTGGTGAGTTCAGAGCTGACTGTGTTGCTAGGAGTTGGGTCTAGTTGGAGGTGGGTCAGCCGGGGACCCGAGCTAGAAGGGTATGTTCTTATCTGCAGCTTCTCCCTTCTCTCTGCTTCCTGGCTGCATAATTTTCCTCTACCAACCTCTTCCATTCTGCCTTGGAGCTGGCTGACCATGGACTGAACCCACTGAAAGTGTGAGCCAAATTAAACTTCTCTTTTAAATTGTGGCTGTGGGGTATTTTGTCCCAGTGACAGGGGAGTGACTGATACACCCAGAATCCAAGGAAAGCTCCCTCAGCTCTGATTTTATTTAAGTCTCCAATAGCAACTGAGGCCAAGGTCTTTCACATGTGGGGTCTATTTTTGGATGCTGCTACAAAGTGTGGGATGTAGGTAGGTCCCTACCCTTCTGGGGTGTGATGCTCTCTCTACCACCTGGCAGTACACTCTTTGACCATTTGCTTCAATTCCTTGTGAAGGTTCCTTAACTCAGAAACGGGCTATTCTAATATCCACTTCTAAGTCCTGTTTCATGTAAGGAGATCATACACGGGGAGCACTTTGAGCAGCTCAGGTATAGCACCCATGAGTATGTCACCCATGAATCTGTGCTGTTACCTTACTTCCTGCAGGGTTCTTGAGAAGGTTAGATGAAAGAACACCCGCCTGGACCGACTACATAGTTTGGGCCTGGAATAAAATGAAAACGCGGGGTAGTTCAAAAACTAAGAATTTCTGGGCAAGTGGGTCTAATGATGGGGAGGTTGGGAAGGAAAAGGGATTAAAAATAATTAAGATGTGTTGTGAACATACCTACTTCGCACAGTGAATGCAATCATTATGTACTGCAAACTTGTACTAAAACAAAAACAAAAACAAAAAAACAAAGAATTTCAGCAGAGCATTATACCCACGGCAGGCAGGACGTGGTCCCCGTACGAGTCACAGGTTGCCTGCCCAAGAAGAGGACCCCGGGGCGTGGAGAAGCACCTGAATACAGCAGGTGCAAAATAAACGCTGGGTTCACGGTGGAGTCCTCAAGCTCCGACAGCGCACGCCCCAGCACTGCGAATGCTGGCTGCTCAGTGTCCCCGGCCCACCGGGGGTGACACCATCTCTGGGCAGAGGTCCCCCAGAGCCCGGGCGGGTTTTGCTGGCCGCCGGGCCTCGCAGCGCTGCCAAGGTGTTTACCGGTTGCCCGGGAGACGCGCAGCCACCTCTGCAGCCTGGCCCCAGTCTCTAACCGCGCTGCAGCCAGCATGAGCCGCCGCTGCTCCCCAGGCTC